TTCTTTGACTAAACTTAAAATAGTTCAGACTAGCTAAATACTCTTACTATAAACTCTCTGTCCTATTTTACATTTTATTCGAAATTTGTGAAATGAATAAATCAAATTATGAAAGAACGGGTGTAAAGCTGTTGGCTTGATTTCAACAGTTTTCTCTTATTCGATGCCAGCAACGAAGTGAAACTCGTTTTCACCAGAAAATTTATAAGAGACACTTTTATAACAAGCCATTTTAAATTAGGGCGGCATTTATCTTTGAAAGAGAAATTAATTGCTTCCTAACATTTAATTTTTGAGCGATTACGAAATTGAAACTAGTTTTTTGTCTTATAAAAAAATTAATTTGTACTTATTTGATTAAATTTTTAATTGATGACTTTAAATTCAACGTTTAGAATTCATGAATTTTAATATTTGAGTTGAATTGTAATTTTTTTCTAATTAAAAAGCTTTTTATTTTAATTTTACAGTAGATAAAAATGTAATAAGTAAATAAAAGTCAATTACCAGTTAGCAACCTTTGAGGATTATGCGATATAATATATACACTCGGAGAAAAAAAAATTATTATAAAATTACGATACTGTATGGTAATGACGTTCTGGTTCTTTTTTTCCCCTCTTTTTTTAAAGGAATAAGAAGCATAATTTTGATTAATAAAATTAAAATTGTACTTAAATCATACGGAAAGGTTTACCAAATTTTATCACACGTTATAAACCATATTTTATTGCTAATTTTACCAAAATCATTATTAAAGTTCTTTGGTAAAAATTACCGATCGTTATAGTATTCTTGTAGAGCAAGAAACATGGCAAATTTTACCATATTCTTATAGTTGTTACCCTTCTTTTTTTTACTCAGTGCAGTTTGAGTATGTTAATTAATTTATTTACGGAAAAATGGACAAAAGATGCTTTCCTTAAGTTAACTTTAAACATAACTGCTTCTGACGAAGTCGAGGTTTGTTAAGGAATGTAGAAGGGGTTAGAGGTTATCCAAAAAGTAAGACTTAAGTAGTTGAGTTGATAGATCATGTGAATGTATAAACATCGTAATGTTCTTTTCAAGAATCAAATCACTAAAGCTAATTAAGCGAATCGAAAACTTTTTGAACATAGCTATAAATTTCATTCACCCAAGTGTAAATTAATGTAAAAAAAAAAAAAAGAGTAAACGTTATTTTTATATTTTTTCCAGGTATCAAATTTATAAGTCATAACAAAGTAAGCTAACTTTAGGTCAGGAATAGTTCTTTTTTATTAAATTTGTCTAAAACAGAACCGTTTATTTAGCACACTTTTACGATTCTTAAGCCCAATGTATGAATGTTTGTAATTTTGAGAATTATTTTGTCGGTGAAGTATTCTTTGTGCATTGTAAAAGTCAAGTCAGGGTATAAATTACCACTACTTTGCGTGTATCATCCATAAAATCCATTTCACCTTAATATTCATTTAATTGGATACATTATTTATTAATAATTTCATTAATATTCACCTTAATATTCTTTTTACGGTATGTGCATGTTAATACACTTGAATACCATATCTGATGTAGCAATAAAATTATTTTTTTATCGCCAACCTGCTTGTTAATTTGTCTTGTTGAAATTTTTTTTATTTGAAGCTCTTTCGTCAACAGAAATCAAAATTGCTTCAATTCGAATGTGTTACACTAATAGCAAATCTTGAATTTTAAACTCAGTGTACTATTTTGTGAAAGAAATTGAATGGTTAATTAAACTCGCAATAACTTAAACAATAAAAAAATTTTAAACTTTAAAAGAAAATCACCAACATTGCGAGATTTGTTCCATCTAAATTAAAGTTATTAAAATCAATGAATAATTCTTAGTTTTCGCATATTTTTAGGAATCAAAGAATTGCAATGTTGGAATAACTTTTCAGATCTTAAGAAAATTGTCTTTTATTTCTTTCAAATACCTTTCATTTTCTTTTCATTTCCATTTCTCTCTTTTGGCTTCTTTTCAAATACACATGTTGTGCCAGGTCACTGACTAAACATGTACTAATATAAACTAACTAACTAACAGTTACTAACAGCAAAACTAACAGTTATAAATAGCTCGAAAAAGTTAATAGTTGTTACATACTCAAAACAGTTAAAAAAAATAACATACTTTTGGCTAAAACAGCTTCTTTTCCCAGTCTTTGAAAAGTATATCTCCGTATAGAACAGAGAACAAATAAAGATGTTTGTTTGAGATTGTCTGTATATGACATAAACTACTTCATTATGTCCATAAAATACAAGATTTTCTTTTTCTATTATTTCTGAGATCGGGCTAAAATTACTTGGATTCTAAAGTGATATCAATGATATTGCTTCAAATGTAATATATAGCAAAGCTCTTTCAGCAAGGTAATAAGGCGGAGATTTTTGACTAGCATATTGTGGATTTCTTATGAAAAATTAACTCATATAACATGTCCTTTAAAAAGTGCTATTAAAATTTAATCTTTTTATTTTTTATTAAATGCGAAGAAGCTGTTAGTAATGACATTTTTTTCAAAAGTAGTTTGATTATTTAGTTCTATCGACATACCGTATTCGTTAAGAGAATAGGGTGTTGAGAAAATAGAAGTTTATAGTTGTACCACTACGAAATTTAATTTAGCACAGATTAAATTTATTTTAAAATATTTTCTTAAAAGGTTTTTTACAATCTTTTTCATATTGTATAGTGAGATATAGTGTAAAAAATTCTGGATAAAAACGCACTAAAAAAGAACCGACACTGAAGGTACTTTTTACCGGAATTACCCATTTTTACCGGAACATCTAATAGAGAAAAAAAAATCTGAGTCACCGTAATTTTTACAGTAACAATTACCATAAAATCACTGAATCACTTTAATAAAAGAAATGCTACTTCAAAAATTGCTGTATAATAGTTTACGGTAAAAATACATTTTACTGTTAAGTGCCGGTACTTCATACCGTAATTTGATTCGGAATTTTTTATCAGTGTATAATGAATAAAAAAACTTGTATTAGGTAGGTAGTTTTGTTGAGATAAAAATACTTTCAAAGATAGTTTAAGATTTTTGTCACGGTTTGTATTATCTTTGATACAAAAGACGATGAGTGGGACGATTTCACCTCATTCACGTTAAATAAGTAACTGGGCTAAAATAATTCAAGGTCAATTGATAGGCGGAAAAAAGACAAATTCCGACAAGAAAATGTGTCAGAAAAACGTTGCCGTTTCCGTTTAAACACCTTCACAAAATTTGCTAGAAAAAAGGAAAAAGATTACTGCTGTTACTTATAGGGTGCAAGGATTACTTAATTATTGTATGCCTTCAAAATGTTATAAATTGCTTAATATTTTAAACTTAGACACTTCAGATTAATGAAACACAACAGGAGCCTCTCTCAATCAGTTTAAATTATGGAAAACACATAGTTGTTTAATTAATGAAATAATTCTTATGTACTAACTAGTTTTTACCCTAAAATCCGTACCGACCACTGTGGATATGTAAAATATCCACAGTGGTAGATGGTGCATGGGTTAGAGGGTCTTGCCGTTAGGCTAACCATGGGAGGTATTCAAGGTTTTCCTCTTCATATAACGCAAATGCTGATTAGTTCCATCAAATTTCTCTCACTACTTGATGCAGGAGTTCCCTTGTCTTCTGGATTAGGTTCAAAAGTTCAAGACTACGGAGTCGAATTATAGTAGTCGTAAACTTAAAAATTGGGTCTGCTGTTCGATGACGGTTATAAAATAAAATATAAACTATTTAATTATTTCTGAACTAATTCAAATTTAAGCAAAATACAACAAATTATTCATTTACAAAATTTAGATTACGTGCCTGTAAAAATCAATTTTCTATAGCTGATAGTACTGAATTGGCCAGTCTGAATTACGCGGAACAAGAAATCTACGAGTTTGATGTAAAATAACTCTGAAATATCATTAACCACACCATTAACATTTTAAAATCATAATGCTTATTAGAAATTTTTCTAGAAATTTACATTGTTTTATTGAATGGAATTTGAGTTATGACGATGAAAAGCACACTCTGTGAAGATTTTGTGAAAAAGGCCACAGTAGTAACTTTTTATTATGCAGAGAATAAATTGAAATTTTTGCAGAATTCATCTTCATCGTGTGAATTGATTTATAAATCGCTGAGTGTAAAGAAATATGAGTAAGCGAATACAAAGGGCAGTAAATGTTTCTGAAAAGGATAACAATAATGTTACAGTATTAGATGTTCTCTTTAATATTTTCTGTACTCAAATTTTAATTTTTCCAAAATGTAGGAATTACATTGGAAAACGAATTTTTGTTGCATTTATACAAGTATTTGATTTTGCTTAATTCAATTGTGAGGATTTTAAACCTGAAATTTGCTTTGTTCCTGAAGCTGCAGATTTTTTTTTCTTTTCTGAAATAGCATTTTTAGTCGATTTTATGTGAAAATGTGCAATTTTAAAAACGTTATATATGTACGAGATTGAATAAATATTGCAACAAATTTTTAAAAGTAGTTAGAGCATATCATCAGGATTGAAACTGCATAGGAACCCATGCCCAGAAATGTCATCATACGCCGCTTCCTTTATGAAATCGTTTTTTGCCTGCTCTGAACAGATTATAATAGGAAAGCTCCCCAACAGTGTACGATTATATTTCTGGCCAGGGGTTCTTAATCAGTTTTAATTCTGATGATGCCCTCTAACTCTCCGAACAGTTTCTTGCACCATTTATGCGACTCCCTGTCATGTATAAAATTTTTAAAATTGCGCATTTAGACAGAAATTGGCTTAAAAATTCTCATTAAAAGAACTGCAGTTTTGCGTGAGTAACCAATTGCAGATTTGAAATCAGGGATACGAAAGTATCTAAGATCTGTTAAAAAATATCATACAAGAGCAAAAATACAAAAGAAAATTTGCTCCTCCGTGTAATAATAGGTTTTATTTAAGTGTCTCTTATTGTTTATGTTTTTCACCAGTTATACTTCACATCTGTATCTGCACAAAGACGAAACAACCGTTACGGCAATCCAAAGCTTAGCGTCGATAATGAATCCAGATCTGCAAGAGCCAAAAGTAAGTTTTTTATTCCTGTTATTATCATAACGATTTTGTCAAAATTAATCACAGGTTTGAAAGATAAATGGATGGAGGAAGTATGTAAATCGATGAATGGTGAGCCATGGTCGCTTTTAAATATTTTTACATACTTATTTTATGACATCCACTATTTCCATTAATGTAGTTTCCATAGAAGATTCTGTTAACGTGTTGAAATAAGGAAAACTCATCCTTCTTTTATGTACAACAAAGACGCCATTTCTCCATAGAATAAATGGATTTTTATTGACTGATAAATTTACATTATTAGTCTCAAAAAAGAGGGTGTAGACTTAAGCAGTTGTGATTTAACATTTTTTGTGAATAACGCGTTAATATGGAAACCGTTACTATGAATGATTCTAAATAAAGCGAGCGTCTCAATGAAATAAAAAAATATGACGGGAAGAGAAAGCGCCTCTACACATTATTGAATCAGCCAAATTATGAAGCGAATCAGTCAGCAGAAATTGGCGAATTAATCACTGGGTGTATTCGAGAATCAGTGTATCAGGAATTTGGGATTCAGTGAATAGGCATAATTACAAAATCAGTTAATAAGTAGTCAATCATTAACTGATTTTTTAATTCATGCTAGGTAATCAATTTAAAAATTAATAAAAAAAGTTTTTAAACCTATAATTTGTAATATGGCAGCCAACGGGTTCAATATTTGTTTTTCTAAAATGTTTCATACCTTCTTTTCACTCTTATTATTTCATTTATGTAAGCATTGCGAAATGCAGCAATGCCTTATTGATTGTAACTTTATTAAAATGGTTTTCATTTAATTCTATTAATGAATTTTTTAACACTAGTTGAACTCAGTTGCCATATTTAGAAAAATAACAGCTTCGTGTTCTGTAGTAATGTAAATCAGGAAGAAAAAAAAAGTAACCTAAAAGGACGTGCATTTAAAACAAAAATTCATACTCTAACAGCATCTGAAAATGCAAAAAGTGAGTTTGATTTAAATGTTTTTTTTTTAAATTTTTTTTCCCAATGGCAGGCACTGAATTTGAATCTTTGCCTATACTATGCCAGAATTGTTGCTCATTTCGCATTACCCAGTGGGCACCTGTGAACCAATGTCACAGAGGCGAGCAACATTGCCCACGCCACACTGCCACAAACCCGTTTATAGGGCGGGCCACATTTACACATCATGCACACACACAACAGAGGACAGCACAAAGAGAGAGAGAAACATCCATGCCCAGAGCGGGATTCGAACCCGCAACCTATGGCTTCGCAGTCAGGCACGCTAACCGCTTGGCCACCTGGCCGGCTGATTTAAATATAAATTGCGCAAAAAATAATAAAAAATAGCAAATCAATCAACATTTATTTGTATTTTTATATGAATTGTATTTCATATGGTAAAAATGCGTATGCTTATGAAAAAACTTAAATATTTATGATGCCAATAATTACAAAGATTTCCCCTTTGTGTACTTTGTTGCACTGGCACTTGGAGAAAGGCACCGATTTCAATTGCTTTAAAATGATTTGAAAAGCGTTCACGCTTATGTGATACTAACCTGTTTCAACAATTTTCAGTTAATTTGTCGTGTGATACTGGAAAGATGTTGTTTAAAATCAATTTCGTCCAACCATTTGGAGGAGTGGTGCAAGTAGGATCAAAGGCATCTAGAGAATGTACCATTCGAGGGGATAGAGTTCGAACATCATATGTTCTTTCAGTAAATCCTGATTCTTGCGGGAGTTGTAAGGAACAACGGGTAAGCATTTTTTGTTTTATTAGGATTTAAATAAATTTTTAAAAAGCATTTATAATTAACGTTCTTATCATCTTTAATCAAAAGATGATTTAAGATGGGAAGCAAATTTAATTAATTAAATAATTTCTAATTTTCAGTTTTTTGTTTAATTGATTAGACAATTTCTAAGTTTTCTTTATATTTATGATTATTAAACTTTAAAGGCCTCTTTTATTGGGTTGATTACTCAACTGAAAGGACTTTTTAATTTGGTTGATTATACAAATTTAAGGTTTTTTCAATTCTGTAGATTTCACAACTTAAAGGGACCTTTTTATTTCACTGATTGTACAGATATATATATATTTTTCTTGCTTCATTGATAACACAAATCTATGTTGCTTTTTTATAACTTAAGATAGTTATTTAGAAACTTTTTAAAACTTCTATTTAAATTATAACAAAAAATACAAACAAATGAAACAAGATAACAATAAATTGAGCAAACAAAATCTTTCTTCTTAAGTTATGCAAAATTAAAAACATATTCCATATTACATTCCCTTTTTGACATTTTTATAAAGTAAAAAGAAAAAAAAAACGAAAAGTAAAAGAAGATAGTTGTCTTTTTTAATTACGTTGATAACACATATCTTAAGATTTTTAATTTGATTGATTACGTGACTCTAAAGCTTCTTTTCATTGCTTTAATTAAAACATTAACAGTATAAACATTATTCAGATTATTATGTTTTTATTACATGCGCAATACGCTAAGTAAAGTTTTAATGTCTGTTTGCCCATTGAAAAAATGGGAACTTTTCAAAATATCGGGTCAAGGTAAGATAAAGGCTACGTTAACCCAATTAATTTTTTTAAAAGTTAAATGGCATTATGCCTTGTACCATGGTTTACCGTACCTGTTCAGACGCTATGCTATTTTTTTCTCAATTTTTATGAAATTAAGAGAAGTACAAAAAGAAATACTGCAACATGCTTTTCAGATTATAATTGAAAATTAAAGGTAATTTTGATGCAGCTCATAGTATAAAAAATAGTTCTGCTTCCATAATACGCGAGTTTTATCAATATTCAGTGATCATTTAATGACTTGTGTAATTTTATTACTAAACACGATGCATTTTTGTCAACTCATGAGCCACATGTGTCTTGAAACTTATCTCATGTTCAAGATAAAATTATTATTCCTGATATGTTTCAATTTTCATGGTGTTATAAAGATTACCCTTATAATGTATTCTTACAGTGCCTGAAAATTTAGTGAACAATTTTTTTTTTGTGGCTTTTCTTTCGTAGTTGCTTCATTCAATGATATTACTTTTTTCCAGGTCATTTAGGCATTTATAATATGCATATAGTGTACCTATTTCTACCATGCTCTTGATACCTTACAAGATTGCACAACAGTGTTTAGTTTGATGATTTGTAATCTTACCAATTTTTTTTATCTTAAGGTTAAAACCATTTTGCAGTTAAATTTCCTTTATAATACCGTCAGGGAATCTAGATTCCAATTTTAACAGAAAATGCAGTAGTTGTAACATAACTTTGATGTACGCTTGTTTTTCAACATGTTGCTTTCTAATGCAGATCATTGTAGTGTCAATTTCTAACAAAGTTGAAGAGCGCTATAACTGTTCAGAAATACGCAGCGATAAATTAAACAGCAAATTATCTATATTAAACTGACAATTTAAAATTCTGATAGTTTTATATATTAGGCAAAAGTGTGCTTTTGATCTAAAAATGTGGGAGCAAATAAAGTTAAATAAATAAGCATTTGTACTTACTGGTAATATTTATTATGAAATGTATACATTTATTTTTTTAGTGCTCAACACCTGGCACATTTGTTAATACTCTCTACATTCGTTATCATCCAACACTTGAGAGAGATGGGGATGAACTTAAAACCGTCATTTGCAAGTATCAAGCAGGATCCATTCAAGCTGGATGAAAATTTAGTCCATTTCAAACATTACTTGTCATCATGGATTCGATTTCTTCACACATGCCAAATAAACAAACCATTTTCTAAAATCTGTCTTTTTTGAAATATTTCTTTCATGGAAATGGTTATTTTTGCTTAGTTTGAAATATCACTTAAATTTATTTATACAGGCAACAGCCATAAAAATATTTTATTCCATACATAAATAAATAAAAATAGAATCACATAATGATGTTAAAACAGCTTAAATCTCCCGTGTTCAAGTAAGAATTTTTAACTTCATTTGATCACATATCATACCGGCACGTTTAGTATTGTATAAAGTTTCTCAGAATTTAGGGATACATTCTCACCAAATTTCAAATTAGTTTAATAGTTGGTCAAAAGTAGCGCTTCTGATTGAATGATATTCTTGTTCGGATATTAGCGCTATCTGTTGATAAACTTTGTAACTATATTTGAAACTTAGTGAAGAAAATTTCGTTTCATGAACAAAACGTAGCTAACAGTATATTTTCAGCACTTTTTGCCTGATAAATCGTTTTGTATACAAGAATGTCGGTAATGTTTTGGACACTCAGAAAAATATTATTTTTCTAATACATATTATTTACTAATTAATTTAATAGTTGGTCAAAAATAACGCTTCTGATTGTTCTGGCTGATACTCTTCGGAAATTAGCGCTATCTGTTGATAAACTTTATAACTATATTTGAAACTTAGTGAAGAAAATTTGGTTTCATGAACAAAACGTAGCAAACCGTATATTTTCATCTCTTTCTGCCTGATAAATCATTTTGCATACATGAATGTCGATAATGTTTTGGACACTCAGAAAAATATTATTTTTCTTATACATATTATTTACTAAACCTAAAATTGACATTTCAGAATGAGATATTTTGAGTTGTATCAATACATATTTTTTATATTATTAATTCTTTTATTTATAAATCTATTATTCCCCACACGTAAGTAAATTCTCAGATTAATATTTGAGTTGTTATAAAAGGTGGTACATAATCATCCTCCTTACAGCTGTTTCTTTAAGACTATGAAATAGCACATTTTAACCAATGATATACTTTTTTATAACGTTTGTGAGTTTGTAGCATGGTTTTTAACTCAAGTTTTGCTAATCTCAAATTAGCGCCCTTTCTCTAGTGGTTGACAAAATGGTGCAAAATGTGAATATAAAGCAAGGCAACCGTTAGAAAACCGTCCATAATCTGATTTTTGAATATTTTAAAAGTAATTCTAACTCAGCATTGTTTTGGCAATAAAACTATTAGATCGTTGGAAAGATGGTGGTAGCAATCATACGGCCATCACAACAAGCTCCCCAACTGCCGAATCCTGCGTGGAACTTTCCATTGAAGTGGAATTCCTCAATCACAAGACGAGTTCGGATAATGCAGTCATATCAAATCCTCAGTTTTTAACAGGGAGAATCGATTCGCAGGGAGAACTAGACGCAATTTTCAAGTAATTTCAGAAGGCTTTTCAACTACAAATTTAGAAAATGCTGAGAAAAAAATTCGTTTGAAACGGAAAAAGAATTATTACAATTTTCTATCGTATTTAAGTGTAAAAGTTTTTAACTTAAAATTAGTTTTACTTTATATTTCTAGATAAGTCAAATACGTGAATATTTTAGATAGGAATAGAAACCCTTGTAAGTTACAAGTTTGTTATGTTTATACATAACAAACAATTACATTAAAGAATAAGAATTAAGTAATAAAAAATAAATAGACAGGTATATAAAAATGTTTACCTAGAAAATAAATNTAATTGCTCACTCAGAAAAATATTATTTTTCTTATACATATTATTTACTAAACCTAAAATTGACATTTCAGAATGAGATATTTTGAGTTGTATCAATACATATTTTTTATATTATTTATTTCTTTATTTATAAATCTATTATTCCCCACACGTAAGTAAATTCTCAGAATAATATGAGTTGTTATAAAAGGTGGTGCATACTCATCCCCTTTACAGCTGTTTCTTTAAAACTTTCTCATCGTATAAAATAACACATTTTACCCAATGACATACTTTTTTCTAAAAATAAATTTTGTGAGTTCGTAGCTGCTATTCCTGGGATTTTGTAAATCACTAGCGCCCTTTCTATGGAGGTTGCTAAAAGGGTGCATAAAGCAAGCAAGGCAACTGTAAGAAAAGCTTTCGTGATCTGATTTTGAATATTTTAAAAGTAATTCTAACTCAACATTGTTTTGGCAATAAAACTATTAGATCGTTGGGAAGATGAGGTAGCAATCACACGAACTTCGAAACACGCTCCCCAACTGCCGAATCATGCGTGGAACTTTCCATTGGAGCGGAATTCCTAAATCACAAGGACGAGTTCGGATAAGGCAGTTGTATCAGAACCTCAGTTTTTAGCAGGGAGAATCGATTCCCAGCTCAAGCGACGATAGGCTTAGTCTAAGTTTCTAGACACTATTTTCAAGTAATTTCAGAAGACTTTTCAACTAAAAATTTAGAAAATGTTGAGAAAAAAATTATCTTGTAACGGAAAAAGAATTATTGCAATTCTCTATCGTATTTAAGTGTAAAAGTTTTTAACTTAAAACTATTTTTGCTTAATATTTCTAGATAAGTCAAGTACGTGAATATTTTAGATAGGAATAGAAACTCTTGTAAGTTACAAGTTTGTTATGTTTATACATAACAAACCATTACATTAAAAAAATAAAAATTAAATAATAAAAAATAAATAGATAGGTATATAAAAATGTTTCACTGAAAAATAAATAAATAAATAAACTTAATTTTTAGATTTACTAATCATTTCTAATTTTAATTGAATTCAGTGCATTAGTGGTGTGATGATGCTTGACAAGTTAAGTTTTGTAAAATTTCAGACCATTAAATTAAAATTTCGTTAATTTAAGGTATAGGGTGACGTGACTGTTTTAAGTTGTTTTTTTATCTACTATATGCCATTAAAAAAAAATCGTCTAAATTTTAGTTTGATATAATTTTATGCTGTATTATCTCACATTTTGCGATGGTACTTGATAAGCAAATTTAATTGTGCTGTGAAAATTTCGGATTTGTTCCATGAGCTTATTTTCATTTTTATTTTTATATTTTTTCCCCCTTATTACCTAATTAAAAAATGTCCAACGAAGCTTATCCTCGATTTTAGGGCTAAACGAACGCATCCAAAAAAATGTATTCTTAACATCAACTGTAATTAGGCTTCATCGTAACTATTAGTTCTTTTATATATTTACCTCATCAACTAATACTGGATGAGCAAATATTTAAACTTATTTTTATATAACAGATGGCAGCACCAAAGGTTACACGAGGTAAAAATGTTAATATGGCCTAAGGTTTACGATTACAATTCTCTGTCATTTTTTTCAGTTTATGAAAACAAGATCACTGATAATTAATTGATTCTTGACTTTCCTTTTTCCATTTAATGAATAAAAAATTATATACTGTTTCGAATTGTAAGTTCAGTTCAAAACTAACAATAATATTAAATAATCTATTAATAATAAGTTATACTCTCTAAAAATTGTTTTTGCTGCTGCCATCTAATGTCAAAACTTTAAAATAAATTATAATGGAAAATGTATTTTTAGTTTAATTATGTCGATGTTTTCAGATCTTATCCTAAACAAATTTAAACTCATCACACGTCATTAAGTAATCTAAATTTAACTCGACGTATTTAAATATTTAGTTGTAGTACTTGTTTTAACATTTTCTCTGAGCCTCTTTCGTTCATATTACATTTGTTCTCAGGTGGAATTTCAATCTGCAACTGTTACATTTGATGTAACAAAACATAAACAAATGAATAACTTTTTTTTCAAAAAGGAAAAAAATCATTATTTTATTTAATTTTTCATTGACTTTTTTTTGTTGAAATTTAGCAATATATTTGACGCATTTTGAATGTCATGTTATTAGATGAATAATTAATAACAGCAAAAGTATTTCTTAGCAAATATTAAAATTTAAAGACAAATCATAAAAATTAAAATCGGGTTAGAAAATATCGGCTTTCTTTTCTGATGGCCTGTTGAGCATTTTTTAAATAAATTAAAGGCACCCAAAAAATTTTCGCATGATAAAAGTAAGAAAAAGTTCATATTTTCATATAAAGGAAATAATTTAAAACTATATTTAAAAAAGGAAACATAATTAGTGTAGTTAAATTTCTTTACCTACAACAGAACTCATAGTCTAAAGAGTTGCTTATTAAAGTTTAGTGTGATTTCAATTACTTTGTTTGCAATCTTGTTGGCACAGCTTAATGTTTTAATATTTTACCTTCTTCGCAAAAGTAGCATAAAAATACATATTTTTAATGATAATTTTCTTTTTTATTAAAGAGGTTTCTTTTTTTCGTGCATAAAATTCTTGTAGCGGAATGGTTTTGGGAGGAACGATTTTTCCCCAACTTTTGTCTCCCGATTCTCAAAAATGTTGTCTGTGCAATTTTATTCTTTTTTTATTTCGAAGAATGTTTTTAGAAAGTTATGTACTGAATTCAAAATAGAAACTTGTATATTTAATTGTATTGCTTGTATATTTTATATTCCTTCAAATATGTTCTCTAGCACGCATAAGATCTTATCCTGTAAGATTTATATAAGAATAAATTAAGCAAAATATCTAATTTTGAAAAAGAGACTTGTGCCACACAGTAAAAAATTCCGGATCAAAATACAGTAAAAAGTGCCGTATTTTGAAAAATAAAAGGTCTTCAGAGTGTTAGTACTTTTTATCGTAAAATTTCACAAAACAAAAAATCTGTTATGCTGTAGTTTTAACAGTAATATTTATTGTAAAAATATTGAATCATTGCAATTAAATAAATATTACTGGAAAAACTAAGGTATAAAAATTTCAAGCAAAAATGGATTTTACGGGAAAATGAATTTTACGGATGCTGCTGCACATAGGGTGATAGTAGTTTCTTTTAAATTTAATCCGGAATATCTTTACAGGGTAAGGCGCAATTGAATCTTCTTAAAAGCTTTAATGAAAAGATAATGAGACAGTTATTTAAGCGAAGTTGTGGCTTTTAACTGA